CGCCTTGAGGGCGGGTGGGAACGCGGTCGAAGACGCGTCTGCTGTGGTTCCCTTTGTCCAGCTGCTGCCCCTGGCTAATATAATCGATTTGGTGTCATTGTTATATATACACGGTTTTGTACGTCAAACACGTAGAGCCTGTGTATGCTTTAAGTCTGGTCTCGTGAAGGCGCTCTCATGAACTAGTTTAGAACTCCCATTCCCTCTTGTCATCAAGTAAAATTGTTAAATTTTTGGCTGGACAATGGGTGAGTGTGGTTTTTAAACCATGAAAATGCATCAGCCTTGCCGGAGCATTCGGATAATGTGGTTTACGAAATTACGGACCCCATAAGATTTAAAAATATGGGCTGCAACACGGGTGGGTTTAGCTACCTTAGTTGGACCCTGGCTGCATGAGTTCCGTATTTTACTCGGCTTTGTTATTTGCGTATTACATTAATAAAGCCAAGTAAGCCTAAAGTAAAATTTATCAGTAACAAAAGCTGCTCTATTTTCCTCCGAAACATTTTGCATGAGGTAGGCTAACGTAAAAACAAAAATAGCGATATATTTTTTATCTATGGAGAAATTGAAGCCGTTTTCATGGATTTAAATGTGGGTTTGGAGGAATGCCCCCGAAAGTTTTGGAGCGCCCATCGTCGCCAAGCGAACCAGATCAACTTACTTTGATTATTTAACGCATTTAATTAGCTCCTACTCAGGTGTGCTGCATTGTCCATCATGCTTTTCTGCCTGTCGTGTTACTCTGTCGATCGGTGGTAATGTGAAAACCGACCATTCCGCCTGCATTTTTTGACTTGAATCTCTCTAATGAAGCTCCTAACCTATAATAATATGCTGGTCCGTGTCGAAGTTTCTAACGTAGAACTGCAGTTTGTGGGAGCTTACCTGCCTAAACCCAGTAAGGTATATAGTTCTGCGGGCTTATATTTGTCCCGGCCGTCAGGTCTAGTGGAGTTTTTGCAGTGCCAGCACACCATTTACCAAAAGACAATGCAGAGTGACACATGATTTGTATGGCCTTAAGACCTAATTCCTCCAGTTTCCTGCTGCTTCCATTCGTACTCCCCCGTTTGAGGCGTTCTGTGCTACTGTAATGATTATAGCTTGACTTCTGTACACAATAGCTGAAG